TCACTTAATTAACATGTTCAACGTCTCACCTTACCCAGTCCTCAACCACCAAGGCCCCCATTGAGAACACATTCAAACAAACCTCTTTTCATTTTACGAAATAAAACCTTTTCTTTAATGTAACGTAAAGTTATATTAAAAATACACAAACACCTGGCAAATGGCAAATGGCAAATGGCAAATGGAATAATAAGTTGCCCGCTCCTCTTGACGTTCGTGCGAGGCACGCCGATATCAGTTCAGACCCGCCCCTCACAATGCATACGCTGGCCACGTGTCCACTGATTTCGCACCAGAGGGGCCCACCGTGCTGATCACCATCACGCGGTCTGGTTTCATTTTCACATCGCCGTTCTGCTGTTCCTTTTCTTTCCTCTATCCCTCGCTCATTCGTGTCATCACAAGAAACTGAAAGAAATCCACTATGGAGTTCCCCTTTGGCCATCCCTCGCACCATCACTCCCACCATCACAAGAGGGACGATCAACCTGAAGATTACCCGCCACCGCCATCCAATTTCTCTGACCTCCATAATCCTCCTCCTCCTCCGCCCCCTTCGTTCTACGGCGGTGATCAGCCGCCTCCTCCACCCATACCTCACCCAGCTCAAGTCTACCACACTTCTCATGTTCCATCTCAACCACCTCCCTACAACTTTAACTACTCTGATCTCCCTCCTCCTCAATCGGGTCCCCTCCCCTTCAATTACTCATCCGAGGCACCGCCTCCGCCGCCCCGCGTTCCTGCTTACGCCCCCCGCCCGGCACCGCAGTATCTGTGCACCATGTTTCTCATGAAGTGGAGACGTATGAGACCCACCACACCAATCGCCCCCATTTGCCTTCCTTCGTTCATCATCATACTCATCACGAAACCTCTGCCACTGTCTCTTCCAACAGGCGCACTGTTAGGGTCTTCTCCAGGGCTGCCCCCAATTTCTCCCTTACCATTCGGGATGGCAATGTCGTCCTTGCTCCATCCGATCCCACCGATGACTACCAGGTAGCACTTACCCGCAACTTCGATTCTTACTGATACCTTGGATTTAGCTGCCGGCGTTTGAATTTGGGTATTCCTTTAGCTAGTGTTGTCAGCGTATATTGGGTCCGGCTCTTTGGAGTTTCTGCGTATCTAGGACATTCTTATTTTTCAATTCGGTACAAATTATGAAGATAGGATCATCCCTGAATTTGTTGACTGTCTGACTGACTGATTTGACTGTTCATGCTGTTCATTATTATTGTTGCAGCATTGGTACAAGGATGAGAAGTACAGCACAAGGGTGAAGGATCAAGAGGGGTGCCCCGCTTTTTCTCTGGTCAACAAAGCTACTGGTGAGGCCGTTAAGCATTCCATCGGCGCCACTCATCCGGTAACTTCTCTTTCTCATCAAAGTTCGATTCTTTTGCTGCGCCAGTCAAAGTTATTAGGGAAACCAATCAAGCCATCACATGAGCTAAAATGAATAATATCGCTGGACTGTTCAAAACCGTACCATTTCCTGATGTTATTCCAAGTACCTTTCTAGAATTTACAGTATTGTGTTGGCTTTTCCATTTCCAGCATAATTCGCTTGTGAACTCTGCCTTGACGACTTTTTCTTGATTAGTTGATGATGAGCTCCGTGCAGTTCTATTCATGTTCATTCGACCGAATAGCATGAGCAGTGGACTGTGCTGGTCCAATACTCAAATGTTGAATTCAAAATTTGATGAAATAAAAGTGTCGTATCATTTTCTTCCCTCTTAAAAAAAGAAAATTTATCCGCATCAATGTGCTTTCCGTACTGATTTAGGTCTTGGAATGTGATCAGTGATTTCTCTTGTGCATGCTCCTTCCTGTTGCGTCGTGAGAATAAGCAGAGGCCCTTTTTTTGCTTAAAAAAAGAGTCTTTCGTAAATGTCTTGCAGGTTCGACTGATACCTTACAAGTCTGATTATCTTGATGAGTCAGTTCTGTGGACTGAGAGCAAGGAGATTGCTGATGGTTATAGAGCTATAAGGATGGTTAACAATGTTCATCTTAATGTGGATGCTTTCCATGGTGATAAGAGGTCTGGGGGTGTTCATGATGGCACAACTATAGTCCTCTGGGAGTGGAACAAAGGTGATAATCAGCTCTGGAGGATCGCATCCTACTGTAAGTCTTTCCGAGACCTAAAAAGAAATTTAAAAAAAAAAAAAAATCTTTCTACGTCTTCTACTTGCTTAATAACTAACTATAATATATTCCAAATTCCTTTACCACCATCCCTTCATTGGTAGCTTATAACCCTGATCGGAAATAGCTTCAGTTTTTATCAATGCTTGATAGAACTAGGATTTATCAACAATTGACTAAATCACTGGTGAGCAGTATTATGGGTTAAAGAAATAGCATTTATATTTATGGTGGTGATTAAATGCAGGAGAACGAACTAAATTTATTGGAGAGAATGCCGTGCCCCTCTGAAGGTGCAGTATCTTTATGAACTCAAGATGCGACGACTGCTAGCTCTGCTGTTTGAGTGACATTTATGTCTGGTATCTTATGCATTTACAAATGGTTTTTGCTGCATTTACATTTATCAATTACCTGTCTGTGTGTGACTGGTGGGAGAGCTGTAGCTGTGTGTACACATGATGCGTTGAGCTGTTACTGTTGCTACTGGGATGGAACTGGTGTTCACTAATTATTATTTCCGTTACCATCTTACTATTAAGCTGATACGTGCGGGTTAGGGTAAACCACTAATTTATCTTTATTTGTCAGAAACAGTTTTCGTAATTTTCTTTTTGAAAATTGATCATTAAGATATGAAATAACCAAATGAGGTTGGGATGGGAAGAGTTCATTCAGAGGATAGAAGAACTCCGATTTGATACAAAATACAAAGCAAATGTGTCATATACATGATAAGTCAAAATCCACGTGCATGTGTAGAACAAAGGAAAACATCAGCAAAACATAGAAAAATGAGCAGAGAGCTTTTGGAGATCATAGAAGATTGAATTAAAGCTACGTTTAGTAGAAAGTATTGAAAATGAAGAATTGAAATTGGAATTGCAACTGAGAAAATCTATCAAAAAAGTACTTAGTATAAGAAATTAATTGTTATATGGGATTAATCAAATCCATGTATGTGAGGTTGGAGAATACTATAAAGAGAAGTGGTATCTCTCAATCTCATCTCTATGGGTTTGTCTAATCGCATATATTAAGTAATTACTCATGCTAAATATTATTTTAATAAATTTTTTTAATTGTAATTCTAATCTCAATCTTTCATTTTTAATATTTTGTACCAAACGGGATCTAAGATCATTAGGAAAATAAAGTAAGTTTGTAAAATTTTCCAGTACCGCTCTGATACAATTCGTGTTTGAAATTTTAGACGCGCAAAAGCTGGTAATATGGTGCTTCAATTCACGTAACACGATGGGGAGATACAGAGAGACAGAGAGAGCTTGACTTTGTCAACCTTGAACTTCTTGCTTTTGAAACCGAGACAATCTGGTTGCTTCTACGCTAGCGTTCATGGCTTGGGAATGTTGTCTTCTTTCCCATTACAAGCGGCGATGGAGTCGGTCCTTTCCTTTGGATTAAATTCATTGAATTTTCAATTACTTATAATCTTCTGGTCCTTTGACTGTACTGCCGTAAATTCTGGACCTCTTTTCCCCCCGATATTACATCAGTTGTTATCATTTACTCTTCCGATAACTAATCAAGCAAGGTTCTCACGTGTCTCTTGTATCTGCAAGATGATCAAAACGAAAATTTTTCAGCATAACTTATAAAAAAAGAAAAAATACGGGATTATTTACTGGAATGTACGGTGTTGAGGGAGTCGTCGTCGTTTCTCAGTTTCAAAGAGGAGAACATATCCCATTCGAAAATTTATATAGTAATTATTATTTGGTTCTTATCCAAAGGCATAAAAAGAACTTTTGATTCACACAACTTTCATAATTCAGGACCGCATAATCTGCAGGAGCCTTTTACCCGAGTTTAAACGAGTAATGGTCTCGCACACGCCTTCCGAAGTTTCGTATGACTCTTCTTTTTAGTTTTTGAAAAAGTGTAAAGTGTTCTTCGAGTAAAAAAAGAGCGTTTGAGTGAAAATAAATAAATAAAAACAACCTGAGATATAATCCTTACGGAATGATCGGCCTTCCATTTTTGTTAAAAAAAAATATTAAAAATGAAGATGGGTAGACGTACATCCACGTCCGGGGAAATAAGATTCGTGTCCAGGACGGGAATATTCTTGTAGTAAACTTGTTTGACTGTGTGCCGCGAGTTCGATACTGATTTGGAAATCCCTTGAAAGAAGCATCTGCTTTGGCAAAAATGAAACCAGTGGGCCGTACTTCAAATGAGGCTGTCCTGATGGGCTTCCACATCTGTCCAAAGCTTACCAAATCTTGGCGGATGGTATCTGACTAATCCGTGCCACTCTACATTTTGTTTCCATTCTAATTCCACCGTTTCCCATTTTTCAATCTTACCATTGCAATGAGTTTAATTATCAATGAATCAGGTTTGATGGAAAGGACTAATTTCTCACAAACGAATCAATGTTTGCATTTTTACTGAAAGATATGTCCATATTTAGCGCGTGAAATAAGATTGCCTCCAGAAACAAAAAACTCTAAGGTGAACTCGCTCAAGTCTGAACCCTTCATCGTGACGAATAAGAGCTAGCTCAGAAAAACGTCCCGTGCTGAATATTAGTTTGTCATCACTCGTCTCCGGTCAATGCCTGCAATATGCATGCCTGCCTCTCCAAATTGATAGGAGCCTATCAGTGTGTGATCTCCTGAAATGCCTTCGGCTGGCTGCCTTCTTCTTGTTTTTTTCCTTTTAATTATTTAGGTGGCCTGCGAGGGCCCCGACCACGCCCTGGCCTTCCCTCATCCTGATATGGACACTCTCGTGCCACCTAATTAATCTCCCTTTGTTATTATTATATCTCATTCGTCTCCCGCATGCCTGCCTTGGTTATTTCAAACTGTGAAAACAGAGTTTATCATTTTTAAAATACCATCTTAATTGTTTAAATTATCCCCCAACCAAAAGCAATCCAAAAGCTACAAAGTAAGTAACGTACGTGCCCTGCTGATTCATGGTTTCAGTAAATTCCGCACCCCTTTCGCGTCTCTCCCCGGTCAAATACGCCTGTTTTACCAGTGCCCCACCCACCTCCACACACCCCCGCCATCTTTATCTCTCTCTGCTAAAAACTAAACTGTGATATATGGACAGAGCACTTGCGTACGCACCTACTGATTTGATCTGCCTAATTAAAGACGATGACCTTTATGGGGTGCTTTTTAATATTAATTAACTCATGAGCGTTACAATAGAGGCTTGCCTAATGAAGTTAGGATGCAAAACTACCCACATCTCAGTTTCTGTTCTTTATTCTAGGGTGGCATGATTTAGTCATCTGTGTGAATGAGACTCTTTCTTCTTGACCTAAACTCACACACACAATTAATATAATAAAGTTAAAGGAAGGAGGGCAGGAAAAAAAAAACAGATTTTTTTTTAATCCCACTCGTCCGCGAATGGATATGAATGACACTCTCTCTGTGCGTGGCATGCCCACTTCTAGATGCTTCGTTCCAATTAAATACGATTAGCCAGCAGTCATCTCGATCAGCATTAATAAATCAACCAGTTCCCATTAAATCCAATGATTTAAAGTGAAAACGATGTTCTCTCGGCTACGTATTGCGAATACTAACCTCCACTGCTAATTGTGCAGCCTAACTTTTGTTGATTTTTCTGTGCTAATTAATCTCTGTCCCTTTTGTTTCACAGTTAATTATTCAGGAGAAAACGAAACAGATAACAGTACCATCAAATATTTGACTTTTAGAAACGGGGAAGAAAGGCTATATTTATTTTGTATACACACATGACGGATAGATCAGTATTTATATTATTGGCAATGAGTTGAGTAATGAATATTGAGCAGGAAGGGAGGAAGATGATGAGGGAAATGAATTAACTAATCAATTAAAGATGAAGCTGATATGGAGGACCATTGGGAAATGAAGGAAGAGGCAATAAAATAATGGGCAAGTGTCTGAAAGAGGGCCAACTGTCTCAACCTATGAAACAGTGTTAGGTTTACGAGGATATATGAAGAGGGCCCTACACACTTATCTCAGATTGCTGCGCTTTACGTTAGTAAATCACCAATAATTGCCACCCTCCCCCCAACCCCACAACCTCACTCGCAAATCTCAATGGCCCACCATTTTCCTTTTTTTTTAAAAAAAAAATTCCCCTCCGAATCTTCATGGCCAGGATGACAGCTTTATTTATGTTTTTTGGTTCCTGATTTTTTTTTGCATATTAGGGAAGGAGATTAAGGATTAAGAGGGAGGAGGCACATGGGCCGGGTCGTTTCCGGGTTAAAATCTGGAGTGGAGTGACGTCAGGGTATGGCAATCCAAGGGTGGAGATTGATGGCGGAGAAGCAATGATTCAGAATAAAGGCGAGGATGTTTTATATGTGGACTTAGGGAGGAAGGAAGCACACGACGACCAATATTTATGTTTTATATGCGCCGTTTCCATGCGTGGCGTCACAAAACGTCAGACCGTTTTGCTTTGCGATTGCGGTTCAGTTTGGTTTGGCTGTGCATAAAGTCAGGGCCGGTTTAGATGCCCAAGCTAACACTTTCTCCATCCTTCCATTCCAATCCAATCCATCTCCGCTCCTTCTTTTAACAGCGTATTATGACACAATCAATGACTGGGGGAAAAAACTCTTACAGGCAATAAATATTCATAATTATTCAAGAATCAAAATTTGAACTGTATACAAAGTACGCGTACACTTCGCGGTCAAATTTAATATACATATAAACAACCCCTCCACGTGGGCTGTGTGCACATCAAACTGAAATATATATATATATATATATTGTCTATTTCTTATTTTTTTGACCGGTAACAATATTTTTCGCGTCTGGGTGTGAGGGCAGTGAAGGAGATGGAAATAAGAGATAGATAGGGTACACAGGGGCAGCTTTTTTGAGGATTAAAAAAAGGGAAAAGATAAAAAGGAGCATTAGGATAGATGATGGTTGTTTATGTTGTCTGAGGCAAATAATTAAAAGGGTGGAATCGCTAATAATGATATTTTGTTTTTCAGAGGGATGATGCCTCCCGGGGGGATGGGGTCCACACGCTTTGGTTCACTATATATATTTTAATGAAATTTTTAATTAAAAAGGGAATATATTCCCATTCCGAAAGCGGTGGGGATGGTGGCGGCAGAGTGCCTCCTCTTCTCTTCCCCTATTTAACCTTAATCACATCCTTAATTAATTCCAATCAGACCTGAGAGCAGCCCCAAAAAATACTATATGCTCAATTGATTTCTCAACATTCATAAATGAGCCATCCCATCTCTCACCATTATCGATTTATTCATAAAAAAAAATAGGCGTTGATTTTTAAGGGAACAGTGATTAAAGAAGCATGCATGAAGGTAGTACAGAGATAATAAACAAAGGCGGGGGATGAGGAAGTCAGTTAATGCGGTTGATAGGGGCATTAAACAAATGGGGAGGAATTTCAATTCAAACCCCCCCCCCCAAAAAAAAAACGCCTTCGGCAACAACACAAAAAATCCTAATTCCTAATCCCAACTTGGCGTCTCGTCGTTTCATCCCTTCGCCCCTAATCCTCCTTCTTCTTCATCTTCTCTTTTTATTTTAAGGCTCTGCTCTATTTATTATTATTATTTTCTTAAATAAACAAAAGTCGCTGATTGTAAGTTGAAACCAAGGAAGCTTCTTCGTGGGATTAAAATAATAAGCAGCAACAGGTGGCTGATCGAAGGCCAATTGTACTGTGGCCCCGAGATTCTCCAACGCGCTTTCACTTTGAACGCAGTATCACCTCACTTGTCTTGGAGTAGTCCTGGTGTGAACGTATCATCCCAGCTCCCTACTAAAAGATAAATTTGTGCATTCCTGTAAACTATTTAATGACATAACGTATCGATAAGGTTAAAAAAAAAAATACTTTCTTCACTTTATAAATAGGATTTGATTAGTATTCCTAACCATCCATACTAATTAATCCTCCTTTTTAACTCTGAACATGCCTTCCCATAAAGTATTAATTTTCCATTTCATCTCGAAGTATTCCAATAATTCATGTGTGTAACTTTAATCTTCATTCATTCTGCTCCACATGAGGATCAGCCGAGCGGAAATTAAACTCCACTCATTGTGATGATCAGACATGTATAGAGCGTGCTGACTCAGCTCGGATCATTTCTTTGGGGTTCAAATAAAGATTAAAGTCGGTCCCTTAATTTGAGGCTGGTACCTGTCACTTCAATCCCCCTTTAACGTTATTAATTAGTTATTTCTTCGCAGTATTCATTTAACTGAATGTGGATGCATATTTTTATCCATTTTCCACGCCCAGCTAAAAATAAAGCTCAGTCTCGTGAGGTCACTTTATATAAAGGATACGATTTCATGTCAAAGATACGAACGTGACTTTAAAGTTCTTGGGAAAAAATTAAAAACGATAGATTCTCGTTTGTTACATAAAAAAGAACAGTTATTCTTTAATCGCATTTCTGCATATGTATATGCAAACTTTACATGTGAATCTCAATATACGTCTGATTACCCCCCCCCCTCGGAAAAAAAAAAAATCAACGATCGCTCATTTAATTCATACTTGATCGAATTGATTTATGATATATTAGTTATTTGATCCATAAATCCTGTGGACGTAGCTGTATTTTGCTTAGTTTGCTTGGCCCGTGAAACGTCAGAAAGGGACTAAATGGAATTAATTGACCGTTTTGCATTTTGGAAATACTGGGGAATGAAATTTCAAGGAAGTTGCGGAGATAGTGTCAATCCTCAGCTTTTCTCCATCTGGATAGTTGCTACTCCGTCCTGTTCATTCATAAGAGACATATTCCAAAACTGTACTAATAATATCAATTCAAACGAGATAATGACAAAGATAAAATATATATATATTTGTTTCTCACGGCCCTACCAAAATTCAGCTCTCCCCCCGCCACAGCCTCTCCCAAATTAATTACCACCATTACTTTTAATTCCAGCTGCACATATGACCGATTCATTCCCTCGATTTAATTTTGACCTTATCTTTCATCAGTTGATTAATCAATTCGGAGGGGTATTAATTTTAATCCTAAAATGAAACCAGTAAAAATTAAAAAAAAAAAGAAGAAGAAAAAGAAGATGGAATTACCGTGTGTCGACACATGTAGGCACCACCTTGCCTGAGATGTTGCCATCGTGGAAAAGGACGTCGTTGTTAATATTAGTGAGAAATGAAGAAGAAATTATTGGTCTTCACAGGGCATCTGAAATCAAACATTGAGAAAGTTCGCATATCGTTTTTAACTGCCCCCTACTTCTCTATTATTGACTCGCAGGTGTGAAAGGCCTTTAAACAACAGGAATTGTATTGAACCCACTATCTTTTAGTCATGTGCCATCTTGTACGCACGGAAATATAATTAATCTTCTTTTGCAGAGCCCGTGGAAATCAGTAAGATTCGCCCCCTTACTTTTTTTTTTTCAACGAGGTGCGGAGACAAGTATAATGTAACATGTGCACTGATGTGAAGCAGCCGATCTAGGAGCCAACAACAAAAGAAGAACAAACTAATTAAACTGCCACACACACCTAAAGCTGCTGAATATAGGGAAACTATATACCAGTAAGCAAATACAAAATCAAATTAAACTTGTGCTGGCTAGGTGTTTCTGCAATATTCACACGCACTCTGATACTGAAGCTTTGAATTGGTGAAGATGATGGGAAGGGGGCAGTGAAAATGTGCCCATGTTAGGTTGAAGGTAGCGGATAAAGTTGTTATTGTTCATTTGAAAACAAGCGGGTGGGACCCACCTCCGTAGAAAGGCTGCCCCTTTTTTGCCATTTCTTTCTGGGCATCCGTTTTCAAAGAGGGTAGCTACAGAGCGAAGCTGCCAACTAGATGGGACATACGTCACTCCATTAAAATTAGACGTATATATCCTTCAAAATTATACAAATTTCCACACAGAAAAAAAAAAAAAAAAACAAGTGGAGGCTTCCCCAGGAAGTGCCTTGCATGCCACGCATCTTACACACCAGCTGAGCTGTTTCTACGCGCTCCTCTCTATTTAAGCCCACCCTCCTCTCTTGATTCTACTTTCTTAAAAGCCCTCTTCTTTTATTATCCTGCCTTTCTCTTCTTATTTCTTCTTTCTTTGTTTCGTTTTTGTGTGTGTATATAATCTGGGTTTTGGTATATACTGTGGGTTTGTGTGATATCTATTTGAATCTTTCATCAAACCCGTCTGTTTGTTTCGTTCTTTTGGAGGACTCGGTCATGGAAGAGCCGGTCGTGGTGAACAAAGGGGAAGATCAGCCTCTGGATTTGCCGCCGGGGTTCAGATTCCACCCCACCGATGAGGAGATCATTACTTGTTATCTCACCGAGAAGGTTCTCAATAGCAGTTTCAGTGCAACTGCCGTCGGAGAGGCTGATTTGAACAAGTGCGAGCCTTGGGACTTGCCCAGTAAGTTAATTTGTCCCTGGCCTTTTCTTTTCGGCACTTGCCGATATATATTATTCATGAACAATTCATGTTCCTGCTTCGATGATTATTGATTGGGTTTTGAAATATATTTATTGAATAATAGCCGTGTGAAATAACGATTGTGCAGAGAAAGCCAAGATGGGTGAGAAAGAGTGGTACTTCTTCTGCCAAAGGGATAGGAAGTATCCGACGGGCATGAGGACAAATCGAGCCACCGATTCCGGTTACTGGAAGGCCACCGGAAAAGATAAGGAGATTTACAAAGGGAAAGGCAACCTCGTTGGGATGAAGAAGACCCTCGTCTTCTACCGAGGGAGAGCTCCTAAAGGAGAGAAAACCAACTGGGTTATGCATGAGTTCAGATTGGAAGGCAAATTCGCCACTTACAATCTCCCCAAGGCTGCCAAGGTATTGATTGTTGTTCTTTCATCAATTTCCGCTCTTCCTTTTTTTGTTGCTTTTTGGAAAGCGGCTTTTCGTGTTGGTTTGAGAGTTTCTTTCATGTGTGGTCCTTTGATTATGGCCCCCTTTTTTGCTTTATTCAGTTTAATTGTCAACAGAATCTAACATTTTTTATTAATTGGCAGGACGAATGGGTTGTAAGCAAGGTTTTCCACAAGAACTCTGATGTCAAAAAGAGCCCAATTCAAGGCCTTTTGAGGATCAACTCTCTCGGTGATGATTTGCTCGACTGTTCATCACTCCCACCTCTCATGGATCCTTCTTTCAAGCCTTCCTATGGCGACGGTGCCTTCAAGGGGACCAACCCATCCCCACCCGTGTCATCATCTAAACCATCTGACGGCTATTATGTTCCCAACCTCTCCATCATCAACAATCACCAGCAGCCGCCGCAGCAGCTGATGATGAAGCCTCAAGCTATGATGACGCCCACCAATAACAATTACACCATCAATCAAGCCACTTCCAATTTCGTCAATGACTCGCTTTCGCATCCTCAGATTCAAATCCAAAATCCGAGCTTCTCCTTTCAGCAGAATAATCCAGGCTATGTGATGAGTAATGACCAGCAGCGGGCGTTTCTGAGGGCATTTGCAGCCAATAACAACGGCGGCTTGTTCGGGTTGGACAAACTCTGCAAGACGGAGCCGTTGGTGTCGTCCGGCAATCAATCTGTGGTGAGCGTGTCGCAGGATACTGGCCTCAGCAACGACAGAAACGCCGACACTTCCTCGGCTGTTTCCAAGCTCGACATGGGAAGGAACAAGGCATTGTACGAGGATCTTGAGGCTCCACCAGCTGTGCCCCTTTCTGAGTTGGAATGCCTTTGGGACTACTGACGAATCATGAGATATGAAGAGCCCGCAGAGAGAAATCAAGAGCTAGTTTGCCCGATCGTGGTTTTATATACTTAGGATATATTACCTCCAATATATTGCAGACTTTTAAACAGGCTTTTTCCCCCCCTTCTTTTTCAAACACCGATTTATTATCATATCAGACAGGATAGGAAAGTTCTTGGATGCAAAAATATACTGTATAGATTTCTGTTATCCAAGTCTTTTCAGGGTAGATTTTCATCCTTAGATCATACCAAAGGACTTGATGAACTCATGTACATCTATATATTCTTTGTTTCTTTTTTTTTTTTCCTTTCTTTCTTATAATAATTAGTGGGTTTGTTTTTATTCTTTTATTCTTTATATTCAGATATAATATAAACCGTTTTTGTCCAAGTTAAATAGATGTGTACGATTCCAGTTTTGCTGTGTATTATCGCACAAAGTAAACACTGGTTGCTATACATGCCTTTCCATATGGAATTCATCTCAGATGGTTCGTTGGTGTTTGTTCTCATAATAATTATTCCTTGCCATCGCATATCTGTGTGACGCCCCACCAATACATATATCTATATAGGGAGGAGCATTAATTCGATTTCCATTTTTTCAAAGTTTGAGACGGAAAGGTTCTACATCAGGTGTGCGCCAGTGCCTCCCACTAAAGGCCCATGACTGTTTGCCTTTGAAATTTTCTGGTCTTGAGCACCAGCGGCACATGGCGTAGATATGACTATGGAAATTCTCTCTGATCTTATTCCTATACGAATTAAAAGAGCATAGCTGTATCTGCAACCAGCTAGTCTCAGGCAATTAATACACATTATAATCTATGGCAGCAGTAATCTATATATATTCAATAATTCTGCAGAAGTACTGCATCCCAGTGCACGTCAGGATATAGTGTCCCAACAAGAGCTCCATGCGTAATAGCGTCTAATTAATTGCCCCTATCATCCTATGAATATAATGTTAAAAAGAAAAAAGAATACTATAGCGATATACACATTCCTTGAATATTGAAAAATATATGTAAGAAACCGATCAACTTGTGAATGTCAGTACAGTATATTAGTCGGGTTGATTAATTGTAATTAACAGCGAAAACATTAATTAATTGATTATTGTTGATTTAAAAAACATAAGTAGTGAGTAGTCAATATCTAGCTAGCTAGATTAATGGAATCAAACCAGTGACACCGATAAATCAGGTTGTCCAAGCATGTGAATAATTCCCTGAATCTGTGCAGAAGATGCCTCTGGGGAAGGGTATTAGAAGGATATATTTAAAGGGCACGAAAAGGCTCATAGCTATTATTATATATATATATATATATATATATATATGAGAAAACAGCAAACAGTGGTACAGGTTTTCTTGGGAGCCCCCTGAATCTTGTATCCAAAGGAAAAAAACCTAGTCCTCATCACATGCGCCTACCCCAAAAATATTCCATGATTCAGCTCCTAATAATTAACTGTGTGCCGCCAGAACGTACAACTTTCTGACGTTTGTACACCAAAAGAAAAGAATAATGCACAAGAAGACTCGTATACATACATATATACATGGCTTGTACGCCTTTCTCAAGCTGCCTCTGTGTATATATATTGGACATATACGAATGTACATGTGTATATATATATATATACGTGCGTTTCGAAAACTTTAATGCTCGTAATTAATCGCATAGGTGTCGTTTAGGTAATAACTGTTGCTGAAAGGATAAGATCGTATTTAGGAAGAGGATCAGAGACAAGAATAACACAAGTGAATGTGAGTGGGAGAAGGAACTGAAGATAGATAGAAGGATTCATAAGCAAAGAGAAGCGAAAAGGAGGTTAAAAGCGGTGAGATGAGAATAGTGAGTACGCCAAATCTGGCGGAGAATTGGGATAAGGGTATCGGTTATTGGAAGTGAAGAAAGGTTTCATCATGTGAATTTAAGGTTCTTTGATCATGTTCTTTTAAAAGGGAAAAGAAATAAAGGAAAAAGGTGAGAGTCATATCTTTTCCATTCAAAGCAAAGCTTTTATAGGGGTTTTATGCTTGTGGGCAACTTAACCGCCCCTTTTGGGTTTACATGCCTTCCTCTTCTGCTATCTTTTTATTGTTGCAATGATCTCTCTTGCTAGGGCTTCTTTTCCATGGAGGAAAATGAGTGCAAGCATAGAATGGTTCGAGGGATAGTGATCAGCATACTTATAGAAACAGGCTCGTGAGAATCCCACACTTAGATTATTAGATTAGGCAGGTAATAATGACCTACATTGTCCTTCAAATTCACAAGTTATTGAATTTAATTATTTGTCATGTGTAATTTGCTAGAATCACAGATTTTGAGGTGAAAAGAGCAAATAGTAGTAACTTTTTAATTAAATACCCGTTTCCTATTAAAAAGAAGAAGAAGAAGATGATGATAGGCTTTTTAATTTCCATAGCTGCTTTTTTTCATTTAAAATTAGTTAAAGTCAATTGTTAAGAATATATATATATATATAACCAGTGCAGCAAAGCCTATAGATTCTTTTTTAATACTTCTTCGGTCTTAAATATAAGACCCTTATACACTGGAGGATTATTCAACTTCATTGTGAAGATACCTATGTTTTGTTTTGAGCCATCACTTGATGTTGCATCGTTTCATTTGTTTACACTAACAAGTGAAATAATGTTATTTTGGAGCTTGGGTCTCATGACATAATAAGATGATAGACCAAAATAAACGGTGGAGATCTTTCCTGCAGGATTTGTTGAAATTATTCGTGTTAAGAAAATGTTGACATTTTCTACCCATATATAAAAAATGTTTATAGTCATTGAAATTCAGCCGCTCACAAACAGCCATTTTTTTTATAGTGGTGAAATGTGCGTTCATATATTCATTGAATTATGATATATATATATATATATTGGGAAAATAATTAATCAGGTAAGAAGATCGACACGTGCACATCGCTCATTCACATCAAAAGTGTGAACACTTTTTTTATGACTTTACAAATAAACTAACACCAACGTTAACAAATCGCATTAAGTTTGTCATAAAATTGAGCTCCAACTTTTTATTTTAAAATTACTATGTGAATTTAACGGTATATGATTTTATTTGACCTACTTTTGAGTGTGGGTTCGAGTCCGTTTAATTCGAAATGATTCACAGTAATTCATAATTTTTTATAAAACTACGTTGCTTTCTTTTTTTTTGGGTGGGCTTGTGTCATCAACTAGGTTCTGCTTGATATGTAGCACTCCATTAGATTCTTAATATTAGATTTAATTAATTTATGTATATTAAAAAATTAAATAAATTAGTTAATTATAATAAATAAGATATATTTTTTAAAATATCCTTATTGTATAATATTACATTATATTATATATATATATAAGTTTATAAGTCGATTAAACTAGTTTGAATGAAAATAATAAATATAAAAAATAAAGTAAACTGAAATTTTATATTTAGAAATATATTTAACCACAGTCATGCAAGAAATTTGAAATGTAGATTAGAAAGAAAAGAAATAAACGGCATTATTCATTCACCAAAAGGAGAAGGAAGAAGGGAAAATTAAAGATGGGAGGGAATGAGAGAATATGCTTGCATCTGAATCAGAAAGCCCTGATTTGTTGCATGAAAACACGGGGCTGTGCGGCTTCAACCCACCAATCACCATCCTCCAACTCAGACTTCTCAATCGCTGCCCCAAAACCATACACAACTCTTAAATGTAAATGCCCAAATTTATATTTATTATATAATATTTACGTCATCCTCTACCATTCTTCTCCGTGTCCATTGAATCTGCCTATTTCCCTCCCACCCCAATTAATTAATTCCCTTCTACAAATAAACACCACCAGTCCACCACCCTTTAAAATTTTTTTGGTCCTTTAATTCTCCTCTCCATTTAATTAATTCTGAAAAATAATGTATAGATCTATATACGGATGAGGCTGAGGATTTGATGATTTGATGTTTAATACCTACCAAAATGTATGTACCTGAAAATATCTATATCTTTATATATACACGACAGATATATAGGTGGGTTTCCTCACCTAATAAGAAAGAATTAATTCATGATTTATTAATTAATTACTGAGAATTGGCAAATTCTTCGGCCATCTCATCTAATTATTCATTTTAGTAATAATTATAAGTCTGGAAGAGTACTTCGCCGGGATTTTTTTTTATTCGATTGTTCGTTCCTTCTCGTGACCAACACAAAATGATATCTATGAAGAAGTACTATTGTTTTTTATTTATTTTAAGTAATTAAAATAATAATAATGATCGTTGTTATATGCAGAACAGTTTAAAATGTCCACTCGCAGTCCGCATCTTCTGAATTATTAATATATTCACATGTCAACTTGTTGATTGCAAAACAAGTTATAATTCCTGGATAATTGAGATGCAATAATGATCAGTGGGGGGGGTGCATGATTAATTAAGGATGAGATCTAAACCAAGACAACCCTAAAAACGATGTGTCGTGCAGTACACAGTGATGTCGTTAAATCAGATTCTAATGTTATGGGTACGCAGCAGACAATATAATATCCAGTTTGAAGCATTAGTGCCAAATGACAAATGCTAAGGAATACGCAATGATGATTGCGGAGGAACACGGTGATTCGTGTGGCTACTTTTGTTTCAATTATAATTGTTAGGTTTTGGCTGCAATTGTATCATATGTATCGAACCATTGCCTCAATCACAATTCGGGGCCCAACAAAAACTTAACCTATGCTGCACTTGTGTCTTGCAGGCACACATCGATATTAATAATGACGAAATTCAATTATTGTAAACGACATATATTGTTTGGCACAGGCATACAAATCGATACATGATTTTATTTCTTGTTTAATTTTTCCCAAAAAATTAAAATGTGGATGCAATGGGGATTGGTGTGAAAGGCTGGGGTGGAAACGCAGGTTTTAGTTTTCTTTTTTTTTTGGGGGGGGGGGGGAGGGTTTGATGGTTGACTTAATCATCATCTATATGGATTATTACTGATCAAATCTGAAACCTAATCCTTGAGCAGTTGTTTGACGAAACAAGAGAGAGGGCAAGTAATTATGGTTGTGACGTCTATATGTTGGACCTGCAACCACACACACACACACATATCATGAGGTCATCCCCATCCATGAATTATTGGTCTATGTATCATCATTGTTAATTAGTTCATTGCCTTGGACGAGGTTCTAGATTGTCTTCGTATATAATTTCCCGTATAATTACCTATTATTACTTAATTACACACAACCACAAAGAGAAAAAGAGACATACACACGCACGCGCGCGCACAAATCACGAATAGGAAACACCCAAAGAATGTTAAATTTCCAACCGGCTGTGGACTTGGGAGGGAGCTCACTACCTATAACTTTTGTCCCTTGTTACTTCATCATACATATATATCGTCTTCTATTTGGAAACCATCTCTTCCATGGGATATCATTATGATTTGATTTGAAAAGAAGACTAACAGTGAAATTATAATTATAAAAGACTTCTTATATTCTCCAGAGGTTTGATTCAGCAGTAATTTCTCAAAAAATAATTTTTTTGGAAAAAGCAGTTTTTTGACAAGTCCGAGTTGTTGAATCAATGGCTGCTTCTTAAACTTCTTTGGCTTAAAAAGTACGACCCGCTAGTGGCAAAGGATTAAAAACACTGTAATCTTTTTAATGGTAAAATTAAAACATGTGCACATTGCATTAGTGCTAGTGGCGAAGTGAAAAAAAAAACAGAAAAGAATAAATACGACTAAGGGGTTCAGAGCGAACGAAAATTACGCGCGAGGGTGACGGCTACGCAGCAGTGAAAACGGGTCCAACTAACTTACCGGAAGGGAGGCGGGGTTACCTACCAACCCGCATTTGCCCTTGTTTAAGCGGGCTTAGCCTAAAATTCGGTGGCCCAATTTGAGATTAGCCCAACTAAAATTATAAGGCCCGAGTAAGCTTCCTTGACAGGGCCCAAAGAAACCCACACACACATTTGCAATTTGCTCGACGACCCCCGCCCCGGCTCTGTGCCTCGCCTTTGATCGATCCTCGGCTTCGCCCCACGGTGCCGACGAAACAACACTTGCCTCCTCGACGTGTAGTCGACTCCGCTTGGAGAAAGCCCAGAGAATCGTGAATTCTCTTTTCCCTCCTCCTTCATGATCGAGCGTCTTCTGTTTCTCCGTTCACTGGGAATTCAAGGGTCTGACAGTACGGGCAGGTCTTCTCTCGGGGAAAGTCATCTGCCTCCGGTAACTGAAGCCCGCTGAGCATTGTATTGTTTTTCATTATGAAGTGATTTGAAGGTACATATTTTAAATTTTTTGGTGTCATTTTATGTCTAATCTTCTGTGAGCGATGTAATTGATATCGAAGAGGTACAAAAAGAGAATAGGCCCGACAGAGATAACTGCAATGGTGCTCTTACTCGAGTTGTAGCCTTTTTTTTTTTTTTGGCCTTTTCCTTTCGGTGTAATGGAGTTATCTTGTTAACGTAACTCCGTAGGTGAGTCTGGGTGCATGAATATTCGCCCATCTAGAACTGGTTCGCCCAAACTAGCACTCCACGAGTCTCATAATCGTCTTCCGTCCTAGTAGGTTTCAAAGAGTTTCCGTTTACCTTAGTCTCCACGCATTCACCATTCACGTCCATCGTTTTTGAGCAGGCTTACAAGTTTTGTTATATATCTGTTGTGTAGTCCCTTGTGGTCTATCCTCCACCCATAATGTTGTGGGTATAATGCTTGGTCTGTTTATGCTCTCTTGGTAGATAACAAAGATAGGAAGATAAACTGCTAATGATAATACTCTACGTGGATGAAAATTCTATATGTATAGGTAAATTCTTTTGTTTTTACTATCATACTTTCATTAAATCCTTTTAGTCTAAAGGCTGTCCATTTCTGAAGTTAGGGAAGAGAAAGTGATCACTATTGACATTCTGGTTGACAGCCCTCCATCCTCTTGTCATTGCCAACATGGACCAGTTTGGATTTCAAGTCACGGAAGCACCAGAGTCAAAGCCTTCAGCTGGGGAGTCTCCAGTTACCCTTTTGATTAAGCACCTTCCTGAAGCTATATCTCATGAAACCCTTTCTCGACTCTTATCCCACTTTGGTGCTTCCTCTATTCGTCCTTGCTCTAGTGGAAGGTATTTAAGCTCTCACAACTTGAATTTTCTCTAGTGTTTCGGTTTACACTTTGAATAAAATCATAAATGGCTATAGAGCTTGTCGGAAACTTCTTTGATGGTTCGGCAAATGGAAAATTTTATCTTCTTAAACATCTGCATCTTGCTTTTCTGGGCCATTCTCATTTATATACCTCAGTTCCTGGATCTCATGTTAATTCATTGATTACAACTTCAAGTCACTTGTACATGTTTATTGGGTTGATGACATGGAACAGTTAACTGCCCTTTGATTAACTACATTTGTTGTCAGTTTTCACTGTTAGATCATACATACATGTTTTTTAATTGCTTGATCCAATGCAGGTTGAGAAACTGTGCTTTTGTGGATTTTAAAAATGATATGCTAGCTTCTCAAGCACATCGTCAACTAAATGGGTACTCCTTTAAATCCTATGCCTTTTCCCCCTCTAAAGCATTTTCAATTGATAATACTGGTGGCATATTTGAAAATATGGTATCGGTGCATTTAGTTGCTATTCTTTTCATGCTTCCTGATTTAGTCACATGGAAAGACAATCTATTTAAATAAATGGGAATAAGTTTAAATTTTTATGGAAAATTTAAAACTAAACCCTTTTATTGATTGAACGTCTTTTATCCTGATTTTCTTGTTGGTTCTCAGGTTGAGATTTCTCAGTAAAGTCTTGTCAGTAGAGAGAGCTAGTAACCCAATTGAGAACAGCAAAAAAAGCAGTGGATCTCAGCTGGGGAAGGATTCTAAATCATCAGTGGTGAAAAATGCTACTGTCAGCAAATCTCTTAATGATAATTCTAAATCAGGAGCCCCTCCTTCTGAACCAATTGCTGCAAGACTGGGTGTTGACTACCCATTTCCTCCTCACCTTGAGTATGTGGCTTCATGTTATTCTGCAATTTTCGCTTTTACATTGATTTGGGGTTACCCATCCACTGCCCAAGTGTGCAGGGCAAGTTGACCATCTAACATTATGTAGATTGAGAAAAGGGCACTGCGTAAAAATTGCAAGGGAAAAAGCTAGCAAGTATCTATACTTCTATTTTGTTGAAAGGAAAGAATCTTGAATCAATTTGAAAGGAAAACCCTAATAATTTAGTATAACAGATGATAGATTAGTAGGTATTTGGGCAATTATGGAAAGTAGAAACCAGTTTTACTTGAAGGTTAATTGTTGTATTATGAAATATGTTTCGCAGGTATGCCTACCCACCACCTGATGGGAATATACTGACAAACATTGTAAATGCACTCATTGCTGTTCCCCGCTTTTACACTCAGGTTGTTTAAAAGCTAAATGAGGCTTCAATAATTTTATTTGTTTATTTTTTTTCCTGCTTGTTTAGCATTTTTTTTTTGTATGTCTAGGTTTTACGGACCTAACAGTAATGATCTTATTGGTTGCACCCCTCTGATATAGGTGCTACACCTAATGAACAAAATGAATATTCCGGCTCCATTTCGTATGGCACTGCCCACTCCACCTTTACCTGCACAAGTACCAGCGCCTCCACCTCCACCACCTCCTCCCCCATCTATAACCATGAAACCTCAAACTGCGGATCTCTCTAGCAGTGAATCGGAGATGGAATCTTCAGATGATGTAAGATTGATTTCTGTTCCTCTATCAAATATTAGGCTGTGGGGCATGTCTGTTATTTAGTGATCATTCGTATGATTGTGATCGTGCAGCTTGGCTAACACTTCAAAGTTGGCTCAATACGCTAATGTTTTAGTTATCATCCTTTTACAAATTTAATCAATATGCTATAATGTATATTGTTCATGCTACTGTGAAGAACTTTTCTGTCAATATAAATTATACTTAGACATCATGCTCTTGTTGTACTCATATTGAGAAATTAATTAGGAAATTTTCAATTATTTGTAAATGGGTATCAGCTAACAAAATTATAGAGCTAGTTTGATATGCTTTTTCTTTATAATTTTTTATCAGAAAGAATACTAATATGAAAGTTTTAGGAGGTTGATGGGAAAATGGGTTCTATTGGTCTGGCAAGAGCGGCAAAGTCTGGACAAAAGCGTGCTAGACATGAAACCATTATTGGCCCTGCCATTGATAAAGATGTGGCTCATGAAGCTGTTGGAGTAAAACCGGCCACGTTGGTTCCTAAAGAAATTCCAATGATTAAAAAGAGGAACCCTGTCTTACAGGTAGTTAATTTTCATGCGATTGGTCGCAGGATGAAGTTATATTTTTGTATATTTTAACTAGAATATGGGGCCTATGCTCGCACAGTATTTTTTGGGGAGGCCAAACTATTCATGTTTGGATTTGATGCTATTTCTTGATGTACTGATAGTTGTTCTTCTTGATGTTTTTGAAGATTAAAATTGCTCCTAAAGCAGTTCAAAGTGAACATAAAGATGACAACACAACGGAAGAGTTAATGGAGCCAGAAAAAGAGACTTTAGGCCCCAAAGAGTTTCTGACTCCGGAAGAATTAAAGAGTGGAAAATTACCTCCAGAGGAAATTTTATCTCTTCCAATGTTTAAGGTACGGATTTAGAATATCCTGGCAATTACACAAAGATAATAGTGACGAGTGATTTATTGATCTAGTGTATGCTAATGGATCGAATGTTTTTTAATACTCTCATAGTCATTGTTTGTAGCTATTGACGAATGGATGAGCCTGACACCACTACGGCTCTTATCATGTTCTGCAGTGGTTTTGTATTTCACAAAAATGTGTCGGGCAAAAACATATTTCACTCAAATCCGTTGAGCAATATTCTTCCCTGAAGATATTTGCTATATATGCTTTCTGTTGGTCCTGGACTGCATAGTGGCAACTACTTGGTTTTTGTTTTTCTGTGGTTTCGGATTAAGTTGAAATTAGTTTCAAATGGGAAGTCCATAGTTTTTTTTTTTTTTTTTGGGTTTTGGAATGAAAACGGAGGATCTATCATAAATAAATGATGAACAATATACAATAAAAAAGCAAAAACAAGAAAAAACCTATATTCCTTTCACCAACCTCCTTCTAAGGAGGATTGTCATTAATCACCTCAACGTCATGAAGTCCATTAAGCCAACTCACTTCCAGACCTTTACATCAGCCTTTGATGGTAGTGATCACAGGCGAACGTACTTCCAGTAAAATCCCATCACCCATTGCTCAGTTGAGTTAGAGATCACAGCACCACAAGAACTAACTCCTATACGGCTTAGACGATTTATTTGGAGTATAAATTTCCCGCACTTGCTGTTGCGTCATTCTGATATGCAGGGCTATTGACCCTTCCTTCCCTTTCCAAATTCAAAGCATCATATCATATGTTGTTATACATTCTGATATGCTTGTTTGAATTCCTGATGATTTAGTTTAACAACGATATATTATGACAGATTATGTGGTGCAAAATGGGTTCTTATGGGACTGATTGTTTTGAATTGATGGATTTTGCAGAACTATACGGCTGGAAATCCAGCTCCTGTGTTGTATATAAAAAATTTGGCCAAAGATGTGATTGCTGATGATTTCTATTTCATATTTGGTAAGCTTCCAGACTTCAATATTAGCTACATTTCAACGGTATTCAGTTGCCTGGCGTGCTAGTTAACTTTGTAGTTCTTCTCTTGTAATTCGAAGGCTTGTAGAGCCGAAGTAAAAATGTAGGCAGGTTTAAGGCTTTATGTACATGGTTACCCTATCTTTCTTTTATTACCTCAGGGTCCTTGTTCGGAAGTACTGAGGCTGCAAGGTCTACTCTTCAGGTCAAGCTTATGCAGGTAGGATCTTGATTGGCTTTTTATCTGCAGGGGAGGAAGACTGATATTTTTTGGATGTTATTAGTACGTTGCTGCTGATATGCGCTGATGGTTCAATTTTGAGTGACTGGAAATAGAAAATCAAATTATTTAATTCATTCTAATTCTCTAATCTAATTAATGTAGAAGTAGCAAAAGTAGAAATGCAATTCATTATTAAATTGAATACACAATCCCCAAATTACTTATTCTTTTTTTCTAAATTGAACAATACCTTCTTTTTAATCTCATAATCATGAGCCAAATTCATTTCTTTCTGAATTTCAGGAAGGAAGGATGAGAGGTCAAGCATTTTTAACATTCCCATCTATTGAATTGGCTCAGCATGCTTTGGTAAGTGCCCCTTGGGTTTGTCCAAACAGTTTTGTAGATTTTTTTCTTTGTATTTTTCTTGTTCCATCCTTTTGTCATCAAATGTGTAAAGTTTGCGCAATGAGAAAATCAATTAGTTGTGGGATTAGTTCTTGTAGATTGTTACAGCCATATTCGCAGTTCTCCATATTGGAATCATGTTTCTTTTTCCGTGAGTCATGCTGATAAATTATAATTTCTTAATTCTTTTGTTCTTTGTCTTGTTGTGCTCAAGATTAACACTGCACGTTACAATTGAGTGCAGAATTTAGTGAATGGGTATGTATTCAAAGGAAAGCCAATGATCATTCAGTTTGGTCGCAATACTGCCGCCGCCAAAGGAACATAAATCCGTGGCCAATAAGAGTAAAGACTGCTGCATGACGGTCAGTTGCTTGACGCTTAGTATTGGTAGCATGATAGCAGATGGCTAATGCTCCTCATTGACTGGGAGGGGATCGTTCTCTCGATCACAGGTGCCCTAACATTCAGGAAGGTAGTTGTGGCCTGTGTTCATCCTTTGTTTTTAATCAAACATGCAAGGATCATTCTTGATGCGGGCTTTGGGCTTGCTGGAGTAAGATGTTGGAATGTATAACTACTTTTTGCGCGTGATGGACCTAGGGACTGCACCTGGTGCGAGGGCTCCATGACATGCAGTACGGTTCTTTCAGAGGTCATTTCCGCATAATTTCCTTGCAGCGGCTGCGGCAAGGCCATCCCTCCTAGTGCATGCAGATGGTTGATCAGGGATTTGATCAAATAAACAGTACAAAAAGTCAACGGACTTGTAATCATTTTAATCATTAAAAGATAGTTATGCATAATATTCTGGTATCTCGTGATCTGTTGGTGTTGAGAAAGGATGGAAAGGGCAAACTAAGGTTTCAGGGTATGCTGTATGTGCTATGCGATTGCACTTCTGTTGTTACCTAGGAAATGTAAGTCATTTTTGAGAAATATCGTCAACTCAGTTTCGTATTTATATTCGATTTTGATTAGTCTTAATTTTTCTTGAATTATATAATTATAATTATAAGTCCTTTTATCTTCTCTTCTCTGTTTCGCAGCTGTGATAAATTTTGGACGATAACTATCTGATATTTTTCTGTGGAAGTGAAAATGTAGAAGCCAGAAGATTATACTATATATATGAACTATGTTAACAATAAAACTAGTTATGGACAAGATGAACTGAATCTGGTCCTGCCGACAGTAATACGTCGTAGTTAATGAGAGCAAAACAATAATCTATCCGCTCGTTTTCTCATGCACGCCAAGAAAACATCTTCAATCTTTTCAATTTCCAAGAATAGCAAAAGCACGATAAATGCCATTAGAGGTGAAGGCCGGGAGGTTAGCAGCAGCCATAACGGAACAAAGCTAATGCCAAATTCCTAAAATGACGGCAATAATGAAAAGCAAGAGCAGGGTCCCATTTCCTCCGGGAAGCATTGATGACCTACAAAATCAGAGAATCACTGTCAATGCCAATGACCTTGGTCATTTATTTTTAAACAGGCTAGCATTGGGAAAATAATAAACAAGAATAGTGCTGCTATCAGCTAAAGTGAATTTCGAATAATTTCAAGAGAAAAATGGAAGTTTCATGACAAAAATATATGAGCTATCATCTGGTTGACTCTGTAATTTTTAAATAACCTGTCGGGAATTTGAGTATCAGAATATGTCCATGTACGTATAAGCTTGATGTTGGTATTCTAATTAATGCGATGCTCTGAAAGCAGGTTTTGGCATCAAGCATTTTAATTCGTGGCCTTACGCTTAGCTTCGGAGTTCCTTTATATAGGAAAATACAAAGGGAGAATTGCTACAAGTATAGCTTGTTTTTCCTCCGTTCAGACGTCAGAGCTTAGTTTTATTGTGTGCCCACTTATCATCTTTCTTTGAACTACTTAGCCATACCTGAGTTTCTTCTTGGACTGGTGTATGTAAGCCATCACAGGAGGAATAATACCGAACAAAAAGCAGTTGGCATAAACCCCAGCAAAATCGAGAGCTCTTGAAAATGTAGATTGAAAGAACGAAGCTATGAGGGTTGCAAGAGCAAGGACCGATACTGTCACAATCACTTTAAACGTCTCAAACAAATGGTTGGTTGGTCTTGTGTTAGATTCTACCATGGTAAAATCCCTTGAACTTCCGAGGGAAACCTTCCCTGGACAACCGATACCAGATTCTCCTGAATTAAAGGCCAATCCAACTCCTCCACAGCCATGCCCGTTAGAAACGGTAGATTTTCCGGATATCAACTCCCATGTGTCAAGAAGTTGTTTAGGCAAGCTTACGGCATATCCTATCAAGCTAGTTGCCATAGCAGAGAAGGCAAAACATTGAACAGCAGATGAAGCAGATGGATTTACTGAAAGTAAAAGGGGTATAGGGTCATTAGAATTGCCTGAACTGGGCGTTCTGGTAGCCCCTACAAGTCCCAAGACTATCAAATTCCATGATAAAACCATAAGTAAAGGAACAGTCCCGCCAATCAGTATAGCTTTTCTAGCCTCATGTACAGTATTCCCAACAATCTTACATATAAATGGAGTGATGACATGAAATCCCAATGTAAGTACAGCCACAGGTATTATCGGGAGTATTGATGAAAGGCTCCATGAGGCATAACCAAAGGAGCTTATAATGTTAGTTCTTGCCACAGACATTCCCACACAAACCAATGCAGTTATAGAGAAAAGCATGAGGAAGCATAGCATCCGGTTTGCGAAATCAATAGTGTTAAATGGGAAAAAGACCATCAATATTCCAACAACCAGCGGAAACAAGGCATGAACAACCGAAGCCCTAAGGCAGGGGAACCAGGGAGAAAAAATGGCGCCAATGCCAGCAACACAAGCCACCAACAAGGAAAAACTCAGACTGGTGTAAACCAAAGCAACAAATGCACCAAAACAACGTCCCAACGCCTTTGTAGCTAGGCCCGTAAAGCTCACCTCTTGGATCCCATCTTCCTCCATGGTAGCAAAGCTGAGTTCTGCCACAAGTATTATTGAGGAGATGACATAGACCCAAGACAGAAGAATGACGATTGTTGAAGGAAATGGACCTGATTTGATAGTCAAAGCCGGTAAACCAAGCATTCCTGGGCCCACGGCAGTGCCAATGATTAAACTAACTGCACCCCAGAAGCTCTTCCCCTGGGTATTTCCATTCCCATCGCGAATTTTACCTGTTCTCTGATGCTTGCTGGGATTGTTGACAGTTATGCCATTATCTTCGGCTGAAGTCGCATGGGAAGAAAATGCCATTCGATCAAGATATGCAGACTTTGCGAAGAGGAGAAGACTGTGGCCTTTAGCAGCGAACGAAGGAATTACCGTAGTCTTGGAATGGGGAAGTGGGGTGTGAAGATGAGTGCGATGCGGACGAAAATATATAGCGCCACTGATTCTTGGACGCGTGAAGGAACTGCTAGCGAAGGGGAGGGAGAGACCATGCTGCTGCATATTGAAGGAGTATAGGGATGTAGATGGGAGTTTCCTCCTTTGCTTTGCCAAGTGCCGGGACAAGAAGTTAAGGCTGTACCACGCTCAGTAATGCGTCTGCATGCTAGTGAGAAAGTGCTGGAAACCATGGAAAAGTGGCGGTCCAAATGAAGCTGAAAGAATGTGAAATGTGGCAGAACAAATAACAAGGAACCAATAGCTTCGGCCCCATACGAGTGGGAGGCGGGGAGGCGGGTGCAGGAGTCTGGAAAGATCAGAGCGAGTCGAATGCTCACCTGAAGGCACTAAACGGCTAGACCTAGCTCTCGTTCCTAATTATAAATTATGCACGTCTCGTAATGGAAGACAACATTGGGAAGGCCGGAAGGGAAAAAAAAAACAAAACTTTGGTTATGGATATAATTATTTCAGTGTGATTATGAATATCTCTCCTATTATTTTTAATATATTATCTCAGAATTATCTTTTATTATTATGTAATTTGTAAATTCTGTTAAAATTATAAAGCTGTGATTATAAATTCAGGGCATATATTAGGTATCCAGTATTTTAAATGGAATGAGAAATATTCTTATATTGTCTCCTCTCTAATTCTTTACTTTTCTTCCCTGCTCTCTCTTTATTTTATAACAAGTTCAAATTTTGAAAACACTGATGACACATGGATCATGTTTCCAACGGGTTAGCATGTTAGTACTGCCAAGGATTCGGTATTTTATTTTGATGTCCTATTACCGCTGGTCTTGTTTTATTGCGTGGGTCCAGAGTTAACTTGATGTCAGAGAATCCAATTCAAATTTAAGCAGGAGCAGGGAGGGATAACCGATACCGCTACTCAACTTACAGCTGATGCCTTCACCCACAGCGGAAAATGAAATACTCCTCCGGTCCTTATTATAAGATCCCATTTGACTTTTTATTTGGTCCTAATTATAAGACCCCAATCCATTTTGTCTCTTATATTTATGCATTTTTTTTCAAGATAATCCTTCTAATAATAATAGTTTTAGCTAATATACTTAATTAGCAAGGATATTTTAGGAATGACAACACTTATTTATTATAAATAACCAATTTAACTTACTTCCTTAATCTCCTCAAATAAGTCAATTGGGTCTTATAATTAGGACCGGAGGAGTACTACTTTTCGATTTATTTTAAGTATTTAATCACTTCACGAATGAAATATCCCTTATCTTGAAAATTTAAAATCGAGTTTATAAATTAAGATCTAAATAATTTACATTAAGATCAATTTTTTTCATTTAATATCTGAATAATCTCATCTCAAAAGTTATTTATTTTTTTTCATTTAATATCTAAATAATCTCATCTCAAAAGTTATTTAGCCTAATCTATTTAATTTAATTTAACCCAACTACTTTTTTTTTTTTTGCTAAAGTATAGGTATCCTCCTATTGTGAGGGATTAGCCCCTTTCGTTAGACCCAACTACTACTATAACGGGTTAACTTGTTTGGTTTTCAGGATGAGGTGTGACCAATAGATCAAGTATAAATACTGAAAAGGAAGAAAGGGAGAGAGGTGGGCCTTGTAAAGGTCCACAGGTTTTATTTGCTGGGCTGGTCCATCAAGTGACCCATTGGCCCAATGGGCTAAGCACATAATTCGGAAAGACGGAAACTAAGTTGAAGGGCCCACAAAAGTCAACGAGGTGGCCGACGAGTTGTGCGTTATCCAAAAGCATATCCATTTACAGTTATTGTCATATTTCCTAAATCTAAGGTTAACTGAGAGTATCAGTGACACGCCACGTGTATGAAACTGCGGCGTTCACGTACCTACTTTATTCACCATAGATGTAGCGGGCTTCTGCGTGACCCCAAATTTTTTCTTATCCATATCCATATCCTTGCCACCTGCCTCTTTATTCGCCTCGTCCCCATCTGATCATCACTTCTCACCGTTTGATCTTCTCGATCACAAAACGAATACAGGTCTGTCGTACGCAGTACATATTGAAAAGCGTTTTCGAATTCCTGCGGCACATTCCAATAGATCACTCCTTCACCTGAAGCCGATAGTTCGGCACCTCAGCTCAGCCATTTCTTGTGGATAGAGCTATTTTTCCGACGCTTTCATTTGGGTTTTCTACCATTTGCTTCCTTGGTGATCAGAAGCAGAGATATTAGATTGCTGTTGTAGTTGATCAGTTTGATCTAAATGGCGGAGGTTTTAGGCAAGACCAGTTTGATTTCATCTTGGAATAGTCAGAGGCACCATTGTCGCAGAATCTCTGTAGCTCCGAAGAACTTAAACTGCAAATCTGGTGTTTCTTGTTCTTTGAGGAGGTCCCCTTCTCTGAAACTTAAATCTCAGGTTCTCAGGTCCTCCTCTTCCTCGACGCAGAGCGAATTTTATGGCAGAAAGATCGTCTTTGAGGTCATGAAAAGCACACCCTACAAAGGGATTTCCCTATACCGAGCTTCAACCGCAGCTCAGGTTGGTAATCTTTACTCTGCCGGTCTTTCCTCAGGCGACGAGTTGTGGAACTTACTATTTACAAATCCTTCAAATTTTCATAATCTTTCTTCTTGAAATTGAAAAAAAGAATTCGCGGAGGAATTTTATGGAACTTTTCTTTGTAACGTTTTTCGCTGTTATGGAACATTATAGATGGGCCGCGTATTCGGGAACGCTCAAAAATGGTGGGAGAAAGGACTTCAACCCAACATGAAAGAGGTAACTTCGGCACAAGACCTTGTGGACTCCCTGCTAAACGCAGGGGACAAGTTGGTCATTGTTGATTTCTTCTCTCCTGGTTGTGGCGGTTGCAAAGCCCTCCATCCAAAGGTATTTTCACTCTTCATCTGTTCTGATTTATAGATTTATCCCATGATTATGCGAGATCTTACTATTTTCCTTTCAGTCCCAGATTCACCAATTTCCCTTTTGTATTATGGCAGATATGCCAGTTTGCAGAGATGTACCCGAATGTGCTATTCCTTCAGGTGAACAATGAGGAGCATAGGGCTATGAGTTATAGCCTTGGCGTCCACGTTCTTCCCTTCTTTCGCTTCTACAGAGGCTCACAAGGTCGTTTATGCAGCTTTAGCTGTACCAATGCGACGGTATGTGTATTTAACTCTTACTCCTCTTCATTCCATTTTTTTGCTTTTCTTCAGTTACCTGCTTCAGTTTTGATTATTTCATATCATAAATTCTCCAAGTTTCATGATCTGGTTATTTGTACCCTCGATGAGTATTGATTGGTGAGCGATGCTTTGAATGGCATTCAACTAATTGTTCATGTTGCTCTCGCATGCCGAGTTTGGATTGCTAGATTGACGAGTGTTTTCAACCTGAATTTGAAGATTCAACGTACGCCCAAGATTTGGATCTTGGATGTTTATATGTTTTTCATATTCTCCATCGATTCTTGGCGTCATGTTCTGTGAACCCAGGGTTCATATTATTTGTAGGATTTATTTGTTTTTCCCTTGTCCTGGTGTTGAACTCAAAAACCCTGATAATACTTGATTTTGATTACAGATCAAAAAGTTTAAGGATGCATTAGCCAAACACATCCCGGATAGATGCAGCTTAGGCCCAGCCAAAGGGTTGGAGGAGAAGGAACTCTTAGCTTTGGCTGCCAACAAGGATCTTAACTTCACCTACAAACCCAAACCAATTCAACCCGTCCATGAACCTGCCGGTCAAGAGTTCCCAATGGAGCCATCAAAACTTATGCATGTCCCTACACTGGAGGAGTTGGTAGGTGATGATGCACAACCTCTGCATGCCGAAGAGTTGGCAGCTGAGGCCGATGCAGTGAAGCTCTCCGACAAGAGAACCCTGGCAACCGCCGGGAGATGACGGGATCTTTTTGTGAGCCCTGAGTCCTAACCATATCCCTTGTACAGTTTTCTTTTTGTTTTTTTTTTTTTAAAGCATCTGGTGTGAGAATGAAAATTTAAGGTTGAGGTCGAGTAGTGTAGGCTTTGGTCTAGTGGTCTGTATTTCCCAGATTGCTTCAGGCTAATGGATTTACCTTTTTGGGAATCCAAGCCTGCTGTTCTTTAACAATTCAGAAGCAGTCAGCTGTATGATTCCCAGTTGCTCTTTTTGTGTCATGGAGGAATCCGCTCAGTCCCTGCTGTTGTAAAATGCACATCCTTCTTTTCGCCAATGGAAGATTTTAGCTTCTGTTAGTTCTATTTCTGCTCAATTGTTTTTTCTGGTTCTTTTTTTTTTTCCCCCACTTCCAAGATGAAACTCAGAAATTAAAAGGATTAAATTTGTGGCTTAACACAAGGCCCGCATCAGCGTTACTGAGCCTGGGTAAAATTAAATAATATCTGCGGTAGGGAAAACAACATTCACATACAAATTCAGTTGAGGACAGGGTTTGTGGATACAGAGGATGCCTTCTGTAGGGATGAAGACACAACGTTGTCGTCTCTTGCCATGGCAGGGTCCTAATATACGAATGAAGTCCCGTCCGTCGCACATAATTCGGATGGGTAAGATGGAAGCTTCAGGAAAATCGTGCCTTGTGATTTCCAAGTGTATGGATTTTGGGAGATCTTTGCACAAACGGGGAACAGAATAGTGGTGTTGTGAGTACAGAGGGAGTGTGGAAAAGATGGAAGACAGAACGTGGCCTTTCTTTGCTTTGCGGTGGCGCCGGGCGTGCCTCAATTTCTACCCACAAAGTTCCAAGACGTCATAACCTGCCAAGATTTCAAATCTCTGTGGGCCTTTCGGCAAAATGCGAATCCCTAATATTTGACTGCTTGTGCCTTCGTCCCCGATTTTCTTTTTCTGACTATAAAAAAATCAGCAAAAAAAAGGAAGCTCTGACTGATTTCCTTCGTCCTGTTTATGCATGCTTAAGAAACAATGAAACATAGAAGTGAAAGATGCTGCTTGGCTTCTTCTTCCAATTAGCAGTTGTTATGATACGGTGATTTTTTATTTAATTACCCCGAAGCCAAGGGCCTCTGACATTTCACTCAGTAAATATCGTAGTAAGACGAG